AAAAAAAAAAAAAAACCAGTTAAGCCGATCTCCGCTCCCCGAGGAACCGTAAGCAACCGTAAGCAGGTTCACGATCCGTTATCTACTTCGCAGCCAGGACGAGCATAATGCAGAGCAGGAGAAGCACGATATCACAGCGATCCCAAATTCCTCAAATTGATGAAGACCTCCATCAAATCCTATAAACTCTGAGCCCTAAATTCCACAATCTGTTGTCCATTCACGGATTTTGATGACGTTCGATTGCTCGATGCCATCTGTATGGAAGAATCCTATCCCCGTTCTCCCCGATTCTTGTGCTTAGCCGCTGGTGCTGCCGCTACTTTCTTCCTGTTATCTTCTTTGTGGGTTCTCCAGTTCCGCTTCGGCGGATTCAGGAAGAAGAAGATGGCGTGCGATTGCTCTTGCTCCTGCGGCGGCGTTGGGGGTGGCACTGCCGGGAACGGTAGAGGGGAGAGTAGTTCGGCGCGGCCAAACGGGGATGTTGTGGGAAAGGATAAGGCGGCGGCGGAGAGGCAGAGCGGCGTGTCTATAATGGAGCAGCTTGTTCCGGAGATTACTACGCATACGCTCAGTTATTTGGACCATACTAGTCTTTGCAATCTCTCTATGACGAATTCGGCCATGCGGAGGGCTGCTAACGATGACAATGCCTGGAAGGCATTGTATCACAAGGTTTTCTTCCTATCTTTGATTCGTTTGATGAGTGCAATCGCAAACATATTACGTTTAGGGTTTCTGGTTCTGAAATTAATGTTTTAGGATGGTATTTCATTTTCTTGCGTTTTTTCTGGTTTAAGAAAATTTATTGAAGAGGGAGATGAAGGTAAGAGAGATTGCAACTTATTTAGCTGTGTCAATTTCTTGAATGTTTTGGAAATTGAGGAAGGAAAGGAGCACTTATATTTGTCCTCCCGGGAGCCTTAATAAGCTGCTGGTACTTCTGTGGTGGTCCTGGAGGCTAATAGTTGTAGAAATAGAAGGATGTATGATTTCCAAACAAAAATTTCACCTTTATTGAAGCAATCCTTGACTACCATGGAAGGCTTTGGTGGTTTCTTGGAGTTTTTGTAGTGGTTAATTGTCATTCTGCAAAGTGAAACTGAGTTGAGATGACAGGAGAATCAGAAATGACTGCCAATTTATTAGTTTATATATTTTGAAAGGTCCAACAGCTTACTTTCTGAACTAAGAGAAATGAGGATAAAAGAGACGGTTAGCCCTATTAATTTTTATCCCAAAAAAAAAACTTGGGAGAATATATGAAGAAATTCTCAAACATTTGGCTTCATTTAACATGTTAGTGCATAGTCTTATCCCAATTTAAACCAAATAAAGCACCAGAATTGTCTTAAGCTAATCTAGCTAAGTGGCTTTAACCTAGTTTAATTGCGATAGAAAGTAGAGTTATTTAAAAAAAAGGCTTGAAATATCGAGTAGTTTTAATGATTCTTTAGCATAAGCCATTCTATTCAACCAAAAAACTTGTCTTTTCTCTAACCATTTTGTAATTGGATGGCAATGAAGTCCAATTTATTAGTAATGCCAAATACAATATTTACTGAAGTATTTGTTCAAAATGATTAAAACTAATCAAATCTAGTTCATATGCAAATAAATATTTAATGCAATGATGAATTTTTAAAACAATGGAAGATCTTATTTTATATATCAACAAACACTTGTGTAATCAGTTTATTATATAGTATGTCTAACCTTGATCTAATTTTCTTAGATTCAATACCGAACAACCATTTAGGTTTTTAGTAGTTGCTAAGTAGATATCATCAGCATGACAAGCATATTAGATTAATTTACCATAATGATGCTAAACCAACTTAAATTTTGTCATAGAATGTAATGTTTATTGCAAAATGGATTGAAAGAAGAATGGTCTAATTAGTTTTAATGATTATTTACCATTATTCATTGCATTCATCCTAAAATTAGTGTTCCTCCCAAGTATTTTGTGATTGGTTAGTTGTCATTGCAATTACTTATTGCTAAGGCTAGATATGGTACTTAGTGATATGTTTCTATTCTAAAAGGCTTGAAAACCTTTTTTATGGATCAACAAACACTTATGAGATCAGTTTATTGTATAGTAGGGTTAAACATGATCTAATTTTTTTGATGAAATACTAAAAGTTTGGGCTTTTAATAATTGCTAAGTAGCTATCTTCATTTGCATCTTAACCATATTAGATGAATTCGATTTTTCAAAACCTTTTCATGAGGATAAATAGGCGATGAAGGAACAATGTTTAGCATATGGATCATGCATCTGGGTTAACGAATCCTTAAAATTTATTTGCTAGACATCCATGAGCTCTAGGAAATATGATTCCTTAATGGTGAACATGAATGCAATCAGTTCTGTCTTCCCATTGAATTATTATTCCAATTACCACTGTCTTATGACTCATCTAAACTTTACATTTCACTTGGGAATGTTTGGGAAAACTATAAATATTGGTACCATGCATAGATGGAAGGTTGTGAGTTAATGTAAGAGGATGGGTATTAAAATTAGGGTGGTTTGATTAAGACGTGGTTGTATTAAGGAGAATGCAGGTGTCTATCCTATTGGAAGTGTTGGTTGTATAAATATAAAAAGCTAATTTTAGTGTGAGTGTAAGGGAGATAGAATTGATCCATAGGAATGAAAATGAAGAGCGGTTGACCAATAATGGCATGTTTGGATGTTTTGAAAAAACAATTCTGTAGGATAGCATTATCACCATGTGTGAAACTCAAAAAATTTTGAATGACATGAAGATGGATTCATGAAGATAGCCCTTAATAGTTGGGATGAGGGTAATGATGATAATCATGATAGTGGGAGTGAGATTGCGGCTATTTAAGGAAGTGATAAAGGGATGGATAGAAGCAAGGATTAAGAGAAATTACAATACCCAATTTTTAAAATATCAACCATCCTTTTATAAGCATTATGACCTCCTTATATGGTGTAAGAGGTTAGATGTCAAAAGCATTAGGAAAGACGAGTAGACAAAAGGTTACGTTGATAGAAGTTATTTAAAATAATTTGTGAAGAATGGTCTTAACACCTTAGACAACATTCAATAGAAATGATGAAAAATATGGATTCATAACCCTAACCCCAAATAATTGGGTAAGACTAGTAATGATGATGACAATGTAAGGTAGTCTAAATTAACTAAACAAATATAATAGTATACGTGCTCTCGATTATCCATTTTGCCGACCCCACGTAGTGGGATAAATGCTTAATGTTGTTGTTGTATACTTATTTCAAAATGGATTGAGTTTGAGTCTGGTTGTCCTATGATGATTCCTTCTATTCTGTACAATGCGAAGAAATGTTTATTCAAGAGTTCAGATGGAGGTCACAATGGAAGAGTAGAGGACCAACCCAATTCATAATGTAATGAAGCAAGAACTCCTAGGTGAACTCTTGTTAGCATTGAGGCTTCAGAACATAAAATCATCATTTGTCATTCAGTTGTATCTTCTAGATTAACCAATCATTTATTAGAAAACATAACAATATTGGACTGACAAAACAAAGTCTACTTGTGTCATGAGTGACATATGAAATATAGTATTGGAGTAGAGCACCACTTGAGGAAGTAATAAAGTGATATTATCAATCTACAATAGTATAGCTTGAGCTTATGTCCTAAAAGTTTTTAGAGATTAAGGTATTTATAGGGCCATGCTTATTGGATGAGTTATTGGAGTATTGACAATCTGGGAGAGCTAGTTGATTGATTTTTGGGAAGGCGGGCATTTAGGGGCACAATCAAACATTTAGTGTTTGGTGGAACTTCATCAAATGATAGTCATCCATGTTTGGGCAGAAAAATTTAATAATAATTGATCTTGGTTCATCAGTCTCTACATCATGATCATTAGATCTGGATTAGGCTCAGTCGCTACATTCAAATAGTCATTAGGAAAAGTCTAATGGTCTTTTGAGGGACCAAAGTTGAAGTCATTTCAATCTGAAAAATTCTTAATGCTCAAATTGATTTATGTTTTAATCAATAGGAAGAGAGTTAGTTTTGGTGGAAACATAAGTGACAAGTTTAGATGGTTTAAGAATAGAATTTGGGGGCAAAATAATATGTGCAAGCTTTTGTTGGTCTCATTTTTGGAGCTTTTGGGATTTGTAGAAGTGGTGGTTTTATCTTTGGAGGATATTAAGGACAAACAAGATGTGGATATCTTTTGTCATATGTACTATCATAATATGAATATTATTTACTATATTGAGTCTGATGCAATGAGTTTCTTTGTTCACTAAATTTTTATTAGCAAACAATTATTTTGTTAAATTTTGCATTTAAACATTGTTTTATTGTATAGTCATTCGTTGTAAGACAATGCCATACTGAATTAGAAACGGTGAGCAATTCATGACTAAGAGTGGGGTGTGGATCTAGTTTGGTCACTCAAGAAAGCATTAGATGTGTTGGATTGTTTGGGTGACATTTATCAAAGAATGCTTGTCAATTTAAGATCTAACAAAATTAGAAAGATTTAGAATGATATATATATATATATATATTGAAGATTTGCCTAAATTAAAAGGATTTATAATTATTATTTTTGAAGGGTTTGACTTATCATGCTAGGAAAGGTTTTATTAGTCTTGAGTTGCATAGATTTGGGGAAAGGATTAAGAAGTATTTTGTTTTAATTTTAGGATAAATTTTTAATCAATAAATTTGGAAAAAAGAAATGGATTTGTTGCTAAAATTTTATAAGTGTTATGATAAGATTATGTGAGGTATTTGGCAAATATCACATGAACCTTTTAGGAAGAGTGTTCGAGAATCTTTCTCAGTGGGTTAGGGTGATGAAAATGGGTTTGGAGGTATGAACAATGGGAGACGATAATGTTTTTGATGGTGGTGGTAGAGTTTATAGTTTTGCAAGACAACATGACTGTGATAGAGAATGTTATGGTGATGGAATCATGAAGCTTGGAACTATGGTGATCTTTATTATGACTAGTTGATCAGGGCAAAGTTTTTCTTTATTACCAATTGGAGGAATACATCAAAGGAAGTCTTGAGATGAACTTAGAAGAATGAGGGGAATACAGAGCTTAAGCGGTAGGGACATTAGAGTTGGGGTAAAATAACAGGGATGAGTAGTTGAAGAATTATACTTGAGCTGCATATTAGTTTTTGATGAGGCATGTGCTTTTTTATCAATTAAACCTCATTGAGAAATAATATAGTCAAGAGAATAATTGAAATTATTAAGTAAACAAACAATGAAGTAATTAGACATTTGTCAGTTTAAAGTATATCAAATGCTGAGTGAGCACTTATTAGCGTAAGAGCATTTAAAAGTAGAGAAAGTGCTTTTTATAAATAAATAAAGATTAATGGTCATATACGAACTAACAAGGGGGAAATGTTTTTGACATGAGATGTTGGATAAAGGATAGTAGGTCATATGACCAGGGCGATGGGACAAAATTGATGTAGGCAGGGTTGGGGGGGTCGATGTGCTGGCTGCTGGTTCCTGTTGGCCGGGTTCATCTCCCCTATTTTTGGCCCTTCAGTTCCTCCGCATGCCCGATTCCTTCCCCCTGGCGCTGTCCGTTCGATGGTTGTCCCACTGGACCTTCGGGTGCTGCTCCATTCGGCTGCCTGTTGGCCTTTTGCCTCCCCTTT